GGGGGTCCGGGGGTCAAACCCCTACCCCGGCTTTGCCCCCGGGGGCCCCCGCGTGACAACCCTGGTGTTACCCACCCACTCCGCTACGCCTTTGCCTGCACTGCGGCAGAGGGCAGTCGCACCGGCGGCGAACACGAGCACTTCTCCACCGGAAGAAATGGGGAGGCAGGCGTGGGTGTTCTGTCGCCAACAGATGCGCCGAGCAATCGCTGATAACATAAGGAACGGGGTGTCGCGGATGCGTGTGGGGAGCGATGTCGATGCGGACGACACTCGGAGGACGAGTGGTGAAGAATCTCCAGATTCCCATTACGAGGAGGAACCCGAAGATGCGGAAGACTTGGAGATTCGACCCGTTGGCGTGCGTGGTGGAAGGAGGGGTGGCTGCGGACGTCAACATAAGGCCGCGTCACGTGGTGGTCGAGGATCGAAGGGTCCTGTGGGCGAGAAGGGTGGCAAACATCCACCTTGGAGTATTGAAGTGATGATCAAGCTCGCTCGAGCGAAGCGGGACCAGCAAGCTCATTTCGAAGGAATGCCGCACAACTACGGGCGCATGCGCAACATGGAATGGAAGTTGCAGGACCTGCAGAAGCGTCTGGTGGAGGTGGGTGTGAAGAGGACGACCGACGACATCGGCAAGAAGTGGGATAACCTCTTCCATCAGTATAAGAAGGTGCAACGATACCAGAACGCGTCCGGGGGGAAGAACTTCTTCATCTTGACGCCTGCGTTGAGAACAAAAGAGGGATTCGACTTCCGAATGGATAAGCGAGTGTACCTTGAGATTGACAACATGTCTCAAGGCAATAAGACCATCTACCCTAGTAACCTCGCCGACACGAGTGCCCGGGGAGGAGTGCAGATGCTAGGGGATACTCAACGCCAGCCATCCAGCGAATGCACCATCGGACAACTACTTCGATCGGAAGCATCGTTTCTCCGTTGTTGTGCAGATGGTGGTGGACTTGGACTTGCGCATCACGGACGTTTTCGTCGGTTATCCAGGGAGCTGCCATGACATTCGCATACTTCAGCTTTCCAGTCTGTGGGCGCGTGCGGAGGAGGGGGATCTTTTCTGTGGACCTGCTGTGGTGCTGCCATTCGGAGTGAAGAGACACAGGTACATTCTCGGCAATAATGGCTATCCTCCTCTAGAGTGGATCATCGTGCCTTACGGGGGGACCGATCAATACGCCGACGAAGAGAGGTTCGACAACAAGCAGAAGGTCGCCAGAGGAGCAGTGGAGAAAGCTTTCGGGAGATTGAAGGGGATGTGGAGGTTGTTCCTCTGCACACACCAGACGAATATGGACACTTTCCCGCAACAGTTCCAAGTCGTGTGCATTTTGCACAACATCCTCCTCGATGCTGGCATGGACTTCGACGAGAACTTGTTGTGGGAGGTGGACGCGCGCCGACGCGTGGATTTGGGGTTGGATCACCCACCCCACTCCATCGCGGAAAACTTTAATCGGTCTCGTGCGCTGGCGTTGCGTGAAGCGTTGGCGGAGCGCATGAAGCACGAGTGAACGCGCAAACTCCCTCGACGCCGATAGCTACGACATCGATCTCCAAGAAGGGGGGGGGGGACTGGTGATGTACGGGAGGCGGCGGCTGTTGTTGTTTTCCGGCGGGAGTGTAATGTGCTGGGAACAGTTCTGCAGGGTCCTTGCAGTTGTTTTGATTTATTTACTTTATGGTCTTGTTCGTTAAGATGTTTTTTTGTTTTCCTTTTACTATCGCTTACTTGGCGTGACTTTTAATCATTTCAACGAACCTTTGAAGAACGACGGAGCGCCGCTCCATGACGATGTTTTAGCAGACGGCTCTGTTGTATTTGTTGTGGCAGTTTTTGCATATTTGCATCCTTGAATGCGCTTTCGTGTCATCTATGAGTTCTGTTGTTGCGTTAATCGATCGATGCAGATTTTTTGTGTCATCCAGTTCATGCAGCAACAAAAGAAGCACGTTCTTGTCGATCCATGCGCATTTCCTGTGCTATTGAATTCAACCACGAATAAATCAAACAGTGAATCAATCGATCAATCGATGAAGCGATTAGTCGACCAACCGATAAATCATTAAATGGATCAATCGATCGGCCGACTAACCGACCAAACGATAAATCAATCAACCAACCAATCAATCAATCAATCAATCAATCAATCAATCAATCAATCAATCAACCGATCAACCAACCAATCAATCAATCAATCAATCAATCAATCAATCATTCGATGCGAAAACACAATTGCCAGAGATGCGGAACGAAAATCCTGAAAAATGTACCATTCGATACATGCCCTGGCTCCATGAAAGAAATTGAAAAAACGCATCCCCGCTTGTCGTGTCATCCCCGAAAAGGTGCAATTAATCACATGGCCTTCACTTAGCAGTGCATCCACTGCACAAATCCGCTAGAAAACGAAAATGGAAACAACCACATTTGCGATCGGTTGCCACGAACATGCGCGGCGGCGGGCGACGTGGCACACTACACGACTATGGCGAAACAAAATGGCCGCATCAACTTCCAAGCACCCCTCGATCGCCGACACGCATGTACACCTGCCCCCCCCCCCCC